GAGAGAGGGGGGGGGCCGCGGGAACGGGGCTTAGCCTCCGGGATTAAAACAGCCAGTCATACACACAAACACACATACACGCCCACGCACGCACGCGCGCGCGCTGCCTTCTTACCCCCTCCTTCCCCCTTTGCCTGCACCCCCATCCATCATCCCCCTCACCCCCCTCAGGCGGCTGAGGAGCTTAGCGAACTGTTGGTGGAACACATGTACATGAGAGCCAGGGCAGCGGCAGCTCGGCGGGCAGCGGGTTAGGAAAGACGCGGGAGAGGAGAAGAGAGGGATGAAGAGAAGCACTGAAGAGAAGAGGGGAAGGGAAAGGAAGGAGGCGCTATTGAGAAGTTCAGATGGGTTTGAAAGATAGTTTAGGAACGGGTTTTATCTGGGTTTTATCTGCGGGGTTTTTGGGGACGTGGGAGCGCGCGAAATCAGGAGTTGGGGGCCGGTGTTGCGGAATGCGGAGCGGTGGGTGATGTCATGTGCTTGATGAGGAGCAGCCCTTTCCCCCCGCTGGAGGAGGGGGAGGGGGGGAAAGCTTCACGTGTATTGCTGGCGTTGGGCTGCTGGCGTCCTGATGTGCGTTGGTTTGCGAGAGGTAGGGATGGGGTCCTATGTGACCTCTCTAAGCAGGCGTCAGATTCTTTAGAAATAAATAATGTATGTATGTTGTTACGGGGTGGTACAGCTTCGCCAGCGGCCCCCTTTCCCGGGGCAGTCCCTGCTCTCCCCTGCTAGAGGGGCACCCTAATCCGTCACCCCATCCGACTAATCCGAGTGAACTCTTTGAGTTTGGCAACTCACCACCAGCATCCAACCAAATCTAGCGGATTAACGGCGCATCAACTTAGTTCAACAGGTCAGCTCGCAAGTTGATTTAATAATATTATCAGTAACAAATGGCCGCGACAGGGAATGAGGAGAGGGGTGTCGAGTTTGTTTGTTAGTTAGCTACATTGCAGTAGAGCATTGGTTTCCTTAAAATAAAGGATGTTCCTGTCTGTCTGACGGGGTCTGTCTGTTAGGCAGCTAGTTCCGATATCCTATATCTTTTATCTGCAGCAGCCCGTCCCGCAATACACAGTGCGAGAGTTCTTTAACTCGGGGCAGTGATGTCGTACATTGCTGTCGTACAGCCTCTTTGTGTAAAGAACCATGGACAAAGTTGCGATGCGTGCGCCTTACATAACGAAATACCAAAAACACAAAATAATTTGTACTAATTTTGGTTTGTACTAACGTTTTTACGAAATATAACCAAAAACGATCTGAGGTGGTGTCAGGTGGGGTGAGATATGATCTGCCCGTGCTTTAGCGCCACAACAGGGGGTCATCGCACCGATCAATCGCGAGACAAGGACTATATAAGAAACCCCCACGAAGGCTCGACCAGCTCGCCCCTTTGCAGCTGTACAACAACAGTACGATGTAACACAACAGTACGATAACACCAACGATTGACTACTAATTGTACCAGCAGACGACGCACTAAGCATCGCCCCCCCCCACGAACTGAATCTCGCTGTCATATCTCGCTGCCATGGACACGGTAATCATCGCGTCATCCAATCGCTGTCTCCACAGGCGAGGTGCTGCGCCGCCCCCGCGTCTCACAACTCCACCACTTGCAGCACCTCCTCACCCAGAGGCCTCTGGGCTGCTGCGTGCCCACACACACGAACTAGAATGTCATCACTACGTCTTTTTCTCCTCGGGGCGAGGCACAGGATCATGTACGACGGATCATGTACGACACCATTGCGAGGGCGCATTGCGCCTCTTTCTTTCCCCCACACCCCTAGCTGAGTTAACAGCTGACGGCTGCCGGCTAGCTAGCCACACCTCCACACCTCGCCTTCTCCCGGAGTCTCCTCCAGACTCCTCACCGTCCGCCTTGACAGTCCGCCTTGACAGTCCGCCCGGGGGGAGAACACCGGCACGCAGAAGAGGGTGGGGGACCTGTGCCCCGGTCGGTCCGAACAACTCCAGTATCAGGTCCTTACTGGAGTTGTGTTCGGACCTGATAAAGCCAAGTTGCGGCCTGAGGTGCGGCCGCCGGGGGGGCGCAACCCCCTCGCATCAGCGAATAGTCACTCTCCGTTTTGCCGTTATCGGAAGGCAACAATGGGATGTTGAGGTGAGGCGGTATGATGGCGGTATGATGGCGGTATGATGGCGCGCCGGAGCTGGTGCTGTCAAGGTGTTGCTGTGGCATATGATGGGGGGCATGGGGCCGTACGGCTGGAGGCGGGGAGGGTGGGGCATTGCATTGCATTGCTAATCCACCTCCTCTGCCCTCTTGTTACCACAATACCGCTCCCCCCCTCCGCTAAGGCGAGAGGAGAGGAGGGGGAAGAAGGCGCAAGACTGCCTAGGTAACGTAAAACAGCTATAGATGTCTCCCCTTATATAAACACCGAAACCAACATCGTACACCTTCCTCCTAAGGCAACACAACGCGACATGAACAATGGCAAAAATAATTCCATCATCAGAGTTACTGTCTCCAAACATACTTCTAGCCTTGTAAGCGTCAACTCCTATTAATATATCATATATCTGTCGAGCAAGCGGGATACGGCCCCACACAATAATCAAGGATAATGAGGATATCGACACAAGAACGAAAAGAAGTGCCGTACGCATGTGAGTAGCGCGGCGGTAAATCGTCCGCCGTACCTTAATAAACGCAAGCCTCTATTTTATTAAGTAAAACAACAAACAAATTATCGATAGCGACTTCTCCTATAGGCACCTATAGGCGCAGGTGGTCCTTTACACGTCGTTTGCTTTACACCCTCTTGGAGCCTGATGAGCAATTCCTACATGTAGTATAAACGTTATCATCATCATCATCATCATCATCTGCACGCGGGTCAGAGCTCCTGTCGTACTCCCCCCACCCCCCATCCTCCCGCCAAGCGCCCTGTGTAGCGGCGCGCGCCTCTACCCACCCACCCACCCACCCACCGCGACCCCACCTCGACCACCCACCCAGACGGAAATGGACCATCCAGAAGGTGGCAGAAGTGTCGTACATTGAACCGCCGTCAGCGGAGTCACCCGCCGGGTACGGCGGAGCACACATCTAGAACCCCCTGCGCACTCCTCGCAGCGTGCGGGGGGGTTCTTGGAAAGGCGTGTGTGCACATACACACACATACATACATACATACACACGGACATACGAGGTTGGTCGTACACGTCAGAGCACACGCGGGGGTCAAGATTGGGCGGGGAAGAGCTCGGGGGCGGCGGGGGACGGCGGCCAATTACACCCCCCCACCCCCCCAACCCCGAGTACTTATCATGGGCAGAGCCAGGCCCGGTCAGACGTCCAAAAACATGACACGTACATACATACATACATGTAGACGACAAAATAAGCAATACACACAGGCACACGCAAGGCACGACATACCCAGCGACACCGAATGCAGCTTGTACGGCACGTACGGCTCTTGCAAACGAATAGACAGAATTAAAACAGACAGGACAGAGACACATGGGAAGAGGTCAGTGTACGGCATATACACGACCAGGTGCCGCAACGAAATGTACGGAACGGTGTACGGCGGGCGTAACGGCACCAGCACTGGCCACAGACGGCGACAGCCAAACCACCAGGGCCCGTGTCGCCAATGAGCGACACGGGCCGTATTACCAACTACCAACGGTATACATTCATCATTTCCGTACCGAGCTAGTGCGATGAGAGTATGTGCTGTCTAATGAGGGGTGAACCTTAACTCTCCCCCGATCAAAGCAAGCAACTGAGCTGCACGACATCAACAACATCCCTAACTAACCACAACCACCGCAACCACAATCACAGCCAAATCATTCGCCACAACGGCCGCAATGGAGGTGGCGAGCAGTTCCGCGGCCCCCGTAGTAGTCAGAGACCGCTAGAGGACGCACCGCCCGTTCACCACCACCCGCGACGGGTGCATCACATCAAGGCACCTCGCAAACCCAATTCGGAGTTTCCGCCCACCGCATATGTAGCTCATTCCCACATTCCGACAAAACCCCCACCAATACCATTTTAGACACAGAGCCATCGGTCTTCTCACTGCTGTAACCGTTTCCCTCCTGCGTCACCATCATCATCATCATCATCATCATCATCATCATCATCATCATCACCGTCTTCACTCAGCTGTGGGCGGCACACCACCACACCGCCTCGTGTTGGGGACTCTCGCTGTCCATCGCCACCTCCTCCTTGCCTCTTCCTCCGTACATACATACATACATACATACATACATACATACATACATACATACGCGCACATCTCTACCTCCACGACCAATAATGTTACCCTTTCAAAACCCCTTTCATCACTCCCGTGCACCGTCCGTTCTCCTTCGATGTCTCTCCAAATCACCAAGTCATCATCATCATCATCACCACCACCAGCACCACCAGCACTGACGTCGTCACCCTCGCCACTCACCACCCCCAGATACCTGCATGCCGATGCCATGCGTCTCATGCATCGTCACCATCACCGTCATCGTAGCATTGTCATCATGCGATATGCCATCATGCGCACGTGTACCACTACCATGCGCGACACCTTGAAGAAGGAGGAGCAGCGGCAGCAGCAGAATAAGAAGAACATTGAGTACGGCAACGGCTATGATGCAGACTACAACGGGTGTACGACATCGTCCAGAGGAAATACAAAAGGTCGTCCAAAATGATATTGGAGCCGATTCCACCGAAATTAGCGAGTGGACCATTAAAACGTCGTCAATGTCTGGTGGCCACCTTTTGCGGTCACCGTACTTCGGTAATTCCCTTCGTTCCAACCGTCAACTACCGAATAACGCACGCTGGCATGCCAACGGTAACTGCCTTCCTTCCCAAACTAAAACCCTGAAACCCAACTGCCCGCACCATCTGCCCAATGGCTACCAACGTCAACGTCACGGGAAATGTCACCGCCGTCCTTAGCTTCGCCAAATTTCGACCACCACCGCCAAATTTCGACAGAATGCTGTGCGATGATGCACTACGATGCGATGCTTCTGCCCATTTCGCGCTTTTTTTACAGCCCGAAAAGAATATTCTTGAATGATGTGCGGATGCCGCGGATGGATGCTTGACAATATCAAAAGCAACCAACCGTTATTGGTTGAGCCGTTAGAAAGCCCTTCACAAGGTAGCTGGCGGTGCTGGTGCGGGCGTTCTTCTCCCACGAAACGACCCAAACGACGCCGTACGAGAGCTGCGAGAGAGAGAGAGAGAGAGAGAGAGACAAAGCACGCACACAGCTATACGTGTGTACGTGGCCCCTGATGCGACCGCAGGTCAGGTGGTCAGGTCTTTGGATTTTCTTGATCAACTTGAATGCGACCATCAACATCATCATCATCATCATCATCGTGCAGCAGTATAATTACGTAATGATATTGATATTAATGATCATGACGATGATGATCATCATCATGAATCGCTGCCGCATCTTCGCACGTCCCCTGTGTCCCAGAGGGCCCTACGGTTGCCCCCGTCATGTCGTACCAAACTATCAACAACCCCCATGTGTTCACCCTTCCCCAAGTACCGAGACGCAAAAACCGAAATGTACGAAAAGCAGAGTACGGCGCTCTGAGGCCGGAGAGACCGGAGTACACCGGATGGAGGGTTGGGGAGATATGTGTGTGTGGTGGTGGGGGGGGGGCCCTCACGAGACCGGGGGTGCCCCTGGTGAGGGGCTCTAGAGGCAACTAGAGATTCCCGCAGGCGCCGAGAATTCCAAACAGCAGCAGTAGCAGCAGCCGCAGTAGCAGCAGGGGAAGGGTTCACTTAGGTCCCGACGTCTTGCGACCAAGCCGCCGTACAAACACGTTCTTAAGGGCCTTGAAAGCGACCAGCACTGCTGCCACCTTGCCGCTACCGCCGCCGCCGTTGCAGTCCAGATTAACAGCATCCTGGCCGCTGTCAGTGGCGCCCCCGCCGCCAACGCTGTCAATGGCGCCGCCGTCGCCCACGCTTCCAGAGCCGCCGCCGATCCCGCCGCCACTGGCACCAGCACTTTGGACGCTGCCCGCCGTTAGCGGCGCCGACATTACAGCCAATGCCGTACCTTGAGCTGCCGCCGTTGCCGTCGTCGCCACGTCGACGTCGCCGGGGCAGTCCGACGGCACCGGCCCGGTTACGGCGCCGCAGGTATGTACGGCATCCGGAACGGAGGCGACGGGCACCCGCGCAGCAGCGCTCGCTAGGAGATCCCTAGACGCGATTTGGGGAGATGTCGCGTGAATGCCGTACAGCTGTTGCCCCTCAAGCAGTTGTTGGCCCTGCAAAGAATACCGGAGGCTGTTCCGCTGCCGTACTTGAAGGGCCCGCGGGCAGGGGGACGGCCGCGACGGCGACGCCGCCACCATTACGCCATTAGAGTCCCGGGGGGATAACCTGGACGCCGGCGGCAGCGAAGGACGCGGCGGCGACGCCGGCAGCCCTGCCTCAATGCATGCAGTGGCTGTAGCAGCCGCGAGGAGAGAGTCGCTACAGTCTTCAGCCATAGCTGTGGCAGTAGCAGCAGTAGCAAGAGCCGTACGGGAGGTCTCAGGAATATTGATGGGGGACGTGAGGGCCAGCGCGCGGCGAGTACGCAATGCGCCACCTCCTCCTCCTCCTCCACCCGCCACCTGGCGAGCAGCGGTGGCGGCAGTAGCGGCGGTTGTGGCGGAGCCGGCGGCGGCGGTAGTAAGGCCCACGACTGCGACGGCCGCCGCCGGCTGTGACTGCTGCCACTCCTGTCGATGTTGCCTTTCAGACAGCGGAGGAAACCCTAGATCCAGGGATGGCGGGCGGCCACCGCCATCCATAGTGCTGCAGGCGGAAGACCGAATGCTGGCAGTAGCATTGGCGGCGGCTGCCGACGCCGCCGCCTCCGCTGCCGCCGCCACTGCAGTGGCATCAAAGAGGTGCTCTACTGGCGCCGACGCCCTACGGCGCTGCGAATCCATGACAGCAGTAGTAGCAGTAGCAGTAGCAGTGGCAGTAGCCATCAGGTCAGTCGCGTGATACATGTACTGCATGCTCGTGCCCAATAGTAACTGTCGAGGCGGCTGGACCCCCTCACGCTGCTGCTGCTGCTGCTGGTGTTGCTGCCCCTGTGGCTGCGAAGGGGGCTGCTGTGGCTGTGGCTGCGGCTGCTGTTGATGATGATGATGCTCGTGTAGGAGCTGTTGCTGTTGTTGCTGTTGTTGTTGCTGCTGCTGTTGTAGCAATTGCAGCTGCTGCTGCTGCTGTTGGAGGCTGCGTTGGGCCGCACGTACGCAGGCGCAATGCATGGCGGCCTCGAAGGCTTGAAGCCCCTGCAGGAAGATCTCGGCGCCTGCGACACCACCGCAACCACCAAGCGGGGGGGGGGGGCAGCCAGAGTACACTGATGCGATGTGATGTCGAACTAAACAGTGCATATATTTATATAGATACAGATATATATTGTAGTAGATGGTATAACAGTAGTGGGTATTACATACTGTGAAGGCTTTCCAGTGACCCACATCACATCATGCACCCAAAGCCTCCAGCTGTTGCCGCGTTGTCATGCGGTCCGCAATTCCCCCTACCGCCGCTATGATGACAACCGCGACAACAATAATGCAGCCCTCCATAGAAACCCTGCCTTGTCCTGCCCTGCCCTCTACCAGCGCCGTTACGATACCCACACGCCTCCTCTTCGCATCGCGAAGGAAAGCAGGTGCTCTCTCCGCTCTGCCACCCACCTCGCCCCACCAAAAGAGCAAGCCCTCACGTTCCCCCCAATCTAGAACCCCCACGCAGCTCTCACCCGTGTCGGGGCAGCGGCAGCGAAAGACGAAATTCACGTTGGCCACATCGCGGCCCACCAGGAGCGCCAGTTGCCGCAGGAAGGCCTGAAGGCCGTCTGGACCTGGCCGCACTTTCATTCTAACGTACGGGGATAGGCGTCGTACAACACAACACACGCGATAGGTCATGTAGTATAAAATAGTGCATAATGATAGTTTGCAAATTTGGTGGTCTGGATCATGGGAAGTGAACCACGGCCTCTACACTAGCGAGAGCTTATCCAAGGTAAGGTAAACCATGGCACGACAAAAATGTGTACAATGTTGCGCGTCTAGGACGTGTGCATTACAACGCATGAATTCCTCACTCAGCAGCGCCCTGAAGAAACGACTTGTCAGCCATTGAAACATCACTACTAAAGAAACGCTTTGCCGTCCATGGAAACGTAAATAATAAAATATTAAAAACTGGAACGCGACATTTTTGTTCGTTGTCACTTGAAAACTCCATTTCTTGGTGCGCTTGCTCGACAGGCGGACGGCGAGGCCATTTTGAACCACGTGGACATCGGACCGCTGCCCATTGCTGAGCAATGCCCCTTACAACATGAAGTGCTTCAGGGCTCAATCAGCTGTCCGACACCGTCCGCATGATCCGTATGACTTGCAGGACGTCCAATTAATAAACGTCGTGGGCAACTATGCCAGCCCTTTCGTGCGTTGAACAACAGCGCGGCACTCTAGGTCCCACGACAGAGCCGCAAATCGCACAAACCAGTACGGCGCGTACTTTCAACCGCCGGGGGTATGATGGGGAGAAGGAAGGAGCTGTAGCACATGCAACTACACCTACCAACAGCAGCACATAGGAAGCACAGGAAAGAGCTAGAAGCTTACCTGCAGCAGGTGTTGTTGTAGTATATGCTAAGGACTGGAACAGCCGGAGGAAGCGTGCGCGGCGTAAGGACTTCCTTCCAATCGGGCAAATCGCCCTGGCAGAAGCGGCACGACTTCTCCTCGCTACATTCAACATGAAAAAAGGACATAGACAAAATACGTTTGAGGAAAGGAGCCTGTTCGCCGGTTCCTCAGCGGGGAAACCAACTGTTGGCCTGCACGTCCCGACGCCCAGAGTCGACGGACCGGGGCAAGCGCACATAAACATAACTAAGCATATGCCCAACCGTTGAAACATGCTACAGCCATGGCAGTCAACGACAGGAAGGCGCTGTCCTTGTGCACGCCTCGCGCAAGATGTCAAACAACAAATCCAGACATTCGATAAACGACCCCTGAAACAGAAGGAAATCTAGCTTGAAAGGAGGTTATCGCATCCCAAGCCATAAACACGCAACACAGCCATCGAGGAAGAGCTATACGTGTTACCCTCTCGGTACCGCATGAGCCCTTCATACGCGTACCCTAAACATCCTTGAAACTGCTCGTTATGACCACAGCATTTATGATGTTTGGGCAACCATACAAGCTCGCGCACAAACAAAGAATCCCGTACTTTCCGCAAGGGGTACCCCTTACCGTTTTCCTGCCGAATACAATTGCCAACGCGCAACGCATCTGCGATGGACTCTTGTTGGGCATCTGCAAACCTGCAAACCCGTTTGCAGAATAGAACGTAAGGTTAGCAGGTACGGTACAAGCGCAAACATAGACAAATTCATCAACAAACATTCCTCGTGTTACCCACGCGCCTAATGTGCAAAACGCAATTAAAGCCCGAAAACGCAGCAAAAGCGGAACGAGCACTAGCCTGAACGAGGGGCTCTTGCTCCCCGGAGGGCCCGCGAGTAGCTCCTTCAAAACAGATGTAGCAGAACTCCTCGTTGTCAACATCCTGGTTCTCAGTCATGCTTGTCGGCGGCGTCCTAATGGAACCAACCGCTGCTAGATGAGATGAGGAAAACGTCCCTTGCTAAGTTCTTCGAAAGTAAACTGGTATTGTTCTTATAATACAAATTAGATGTCCATTTCAGAGGCGCACAATGTCAGGGAACGACTCAATGTACGACAGCCCGGAAGGCTCTGCATTTATAAAGCCAGCGGCGACTGGTAAAGTATTTTTACGTAGCTGTACGACAAGCATTTTTGCATGTTGAACGAAAGAGATAGGATATGTTACGACTCGAGGATTCTGTCCGATCGCCTCTGATTTTGAAGGCGCAAAAATACATATTCTTGTACTTTGCTTAATAATTTGCGCTTATAAGCTCTTATGCGTTAAAACATTGCACAAGTTAGAACATGGAACCAACCGTCAAGGCCGGCATCCTTATGGGGCTTGACCGCTGATTGCTAACAACTTAACCTGGATGCCATTCAACGCTACCCAATAATTTACCTATACCAAAAGCTTTGCCCTTGTAGTGGATTGCATCTGCATCACTTAACGCACGGAGTGCGGAAGGCAGGCCTTCCGTGGAGGAGAAAAACATTCAGATATGCATCATGCAAAGCAAATGGGAATTGGTGATGCTCGCCACGTTCCTTAGGGTGCGTTTGGTACGACGAATAAGTCATGCACGTCTTAACATGGGCACTTCCATGTGGCCATCATGGCCCTCAATTACACTCGTATAACTGAATGTATCCGAGATATCATGACTTGATAACTGGTTTGCCGTAACAACTGTGCCATATGGCTCAGCGGTTGGGCAACGGGGAAATTACGACAGCAGGGGTGTAGACACGAGACATCGGCAAACGGGGTATTTCAGGTTTCTGGAACGGTTCTATTTCTGTCTTCCAGTACAATGGCCCGCGACCTGTTCATCATTGACCGCGGGGCCACATAACCCCTTTCGTATTCGGCGTATGATCCTATTTCTGCAGGCCGCCCGGCTTGGGGAACTCGATTTCTGTTTTCGGGAGTTTCAATTTCGGTACGTCCCGAAACTCCAGAAGCGTTTGCCGATGTCTGGTAGATACGTGCATTTCCGTACGTTACGTGCCAACTTCACGAACAGAAATGGTCACCTCGTATGTCGTATAAACGGGAAAATGAAGTTACTACTCAAATACGTTGCTGTGTACGACCTTGTTGCTGTCGTTGCAGCCCAGTGATGCAGCCCAGCAGTGACAATGTGCGATCGATCCGCGCGTTATGATGTGTGGTGTTATGACGTCATGATGCTCTTTTTGATATTCTATAGCCATGGCGGGTGGCTCTCGACTATAGTCTTTATGTCCTGATAGACCAGCTTGTCACCACCAGCGCCTGCAAGTGGCAGGTAGGTACTTTTTGGCTCTATCTTCACCACACACAGGCCACTACTAACGTAGTGTATGTCTTTGAAAGCAGGAAAGAGGTATAGCGGGTGTCAGGGAATGGTGTTGGGCTTGACAATAGAATCACCGTTATACCTAGAGCCTATATATTTAAACTCCCCATATATCCACCTGCGGAGTTTAGGTCGCACTTTTGCACGATGACAATTAAGACACACGGAAAATGCCCATGATCATAAGCCTAAACAGATCAGGTTGGCAGCGCTATCGCACGGTATCCCTAGCTGGCCGCTGTTGTGTTTGCCTAATGTTGGGCTAACTGCCAATAGTCCCTCCACAGTAAGCATCCTGCCATTTGTCCCCCTCCACCCTAGCCAAGTGATCCTTGGACGGATAGAATGTAACACCCCTTATTGCCCCTAACTATCGGGTAACGTTACAGCCAAACCAACACAACAACACCAAATTCCTCCATGGCAAACAACCCCGCCCATGTCCCACGCGTATACGATTTGCGTGCCGTACTGATGAACGGCAGCTACTACAGACGAGCCTCCATGGCAAACAACCCCTTGGCTATCTTTCTTTAACAAGCCTGCTGATACCTGATACGAGACCTGATGAATGTAAGCTCAGGCTTTCATTAATTAATTAACTCACCACGCCAGCAGCCTCCGGCGTGCTTTTTACTTGCTGTGTAGCGTCTCCATCATCACGACCCCGCTGCTGGGCTGTGCTTGCGTCAGCTTGTCCCCAGCTGTCGTGACTGATAAGTGCTGTCGGTTGTGCCATGGATGGTCAGCATGGCGGATGGCACAGCGGCCAGAGGTGTGGCGGTCGGCATACTGGTTGGCACATTGTTTGACCTTTTTACCTGTGGAGGCGGTGGAGGCGGTGACTGGCGCCACCAGAACCGCCACTGCACCACCGTGCTGGCAGCGGGACCAGCCGCTACCCTGGCCCCACCCACCAACCCACCAAGGTGGTGGGAGACTGCTGTACCAATAGGGCTATAGGTCCTGCAGGCTCTGCCACCACAGCAGTGCATGCCTCTCCCTGCAAGGGTGTCTGCGTCCGGGGTGCCGATCTATACCCGGCGACAGATCCCCAAAAGGTGTGAAGCAGTTTCCCCCTCTGCTCTTGTCCCTGGTCCTTCTTGAAGCTTCTGGAAGAGTCCCCTCGTATAAACATACGCACACATGCATGGCTGCAAGGTCGTCCGATTATTTTGGGTTTCGCTGCTGCTGCGTCCTATGGTTGCTCGGCGCTGTGTGCGCCCGAGTACTGGGTGATGCCTAGGAGATGGCTGGGTGGGGAGTGGGTGGGTGTGTGTCGTGGCGTGGTTGGGGGATGGAGAGGTTCGCCACATCACGGAGCCGTCATCACCAACATGCGTCGCCAGCTACACCTTGAGGCAGCAACCCAGCGGCGGATGGGAGCTGCTGTCTCAAGACGAGAGTGAGGAGAGAGGAGGGAGTTGCGAGAGAGGATGGGGGGGAGGGGAGAAAAGGGCCACTTGCAGCACCTCCGCGCACTCGCGCTTCATCTCTCCTACCCAGGCCTTCCCTGGCCCAGCGAGGAGGGAGGAGAGAGGGAGGCGCTATCTCACGAGGAGAGCAACAACGCAAGCCCGTTCCCCTCCACCTCCCCTCTCCCCCGCATCCCCTCGGCCTTCAGTTCCTCCTCGACCAGAGGCCCAACTACCTGTGGCCTCCATTCAGGCCGGAGGGGTGTGAACACATCCACACGCACATCAAGGTGGTAATCATCACCAAAGCCGATTCTGTAGAATGTAGCAATGCTGGCTGCATTAGCAAAGTAACAGTAACAGCAGCAGCAGCAGCAGCAGCAGGCAAGCACCTGACTGATGAGTTCCTAAGGACGCGAAGACGAGTGGGGCAGCCCTACTGCAGAAGCATGCAGCACTTCATCTCCTGCTGCTGGTGCTGCTGCTCACCAACTGAACAACGCAAGACCCCGTTGGCCCAGAGGCCCTCCTCCCTGTAACCAGGGTAACTGCGGCGGCTATTGCTTCTCTTTTGGTGAGAGAGAATGCTTGTGAGAGTGTGTGTGTGTGTGTGTGTGAGTGTGTGTGTGTGTCTCTCTCTAGGTGTGCCTCTAGGTATGCAGTACTTTTGTTGACCTTTCCATGCATGCGGTAGCCGTAGGCAGGGCCTACGAAGCAGAGGAAGAACAACAATCAGGTTGAAATGGTTACCTGGTCGCTGTCTTGGCAGTGCATCTTGGGCAATTGCAGAACTCCGTCATGTGAGTGTGAGTGTGTGTGTGAGTGTGTGTGAGTGTGTGTGTGAGTGTGTGTGTGTGTGTGTGTGTGAGTGTGCTAATTCCCCGAGCGTCTCTCCTGTCCATAGAGTTGGTGGGGGGTCTTACGGTGGCTCAAGGGAATCCCCCGCAGCGCCACGAGAGCTCCGACAAACAGGCAGTGGCCGGCAGCCCCCGCTGCGCCCCCAGTGGTGGTGCTGGTGGTGCTGGTGGTGCGGGTGAAAGCCGCAGTAAAAGGAGACATACAAGAACAAACAGGTACACGACATCCGCCATTTCGCGGCAACGAACGTAGCACTAGCAGTAGCCGATGCAAAACCGTCGTAGGTCGCAACAGCCGCATCAGCAGCCGCCGCCGCAGCAAAACAGGCCCCTTCCACATCACAAGCAAAACAGGCCCCTTCCACATCACAAGCAAAACAGGCCCCTTCCACATCACAAGCATCACAACCCGCAATACACCGACCCGCTACTTCTGCTTTCATTTGCTCTTCCCCCTTCTTCCCGCACGTCCCCCATGTCACCTCCTAGCTGCTGCTACAGCTGTAAGTAATTATCTGTGAGCCATCATGACCCTCCCTGCAACAGCTCGACCGCTTCAGCACTACTGCTGCTACAGCTTCTCTTCCACGAACTCCCCTGTCTGTTAATTGCCTCCCGCCCCCTTCCCAAACCCCCGCCCGTGCGCGGGGCCCTACTGCTGCCGCCCCCCCGCCCTCTGCGTCATCAGTTGCGCCTCGTACTGCTGCAGGGCGGCCACCGCCGCGGACCGCAGGGCCTCCGCGTCCGGTGCGCTGCTGGCCACCACGTCCCGCAGGTAGTTGATGGCGTCCGCCAGCAGCGTGAGGCGCTCGCGGCTGAAGGGGGGCTTCGTGCGGGACAGACCCGCCATGGCCAGGGCGCACCTGGAAGCGGAGCGAGAGGGGGAGGAAAGGGGGGGAGGAACTAACAACAAACGGCCGTGGTCGTGGGCTTGGTCGTGGGAAAGGGGCGGTCCTGGAGAAACGGACATGGCAGCAGGAGGCGGGGAGACAACCACCTCTAGTGCGCTTCGTCCCCCTGCCACACACCGCGGGGGCTCTCGCATGTCTAAAAACCCTAGCTTAAAACCCGATACCCCTTCACAACCCCCGGAGGGACAACCCCGCTACGAAACACCCCCCCCCCGCAACCCTATGCCGCACCTGTACTTAGCGGGCACCATGCCCGGCTCCCCTTCAAGCACCCCCTCGAACTTGTCAATGGCCGAGGTGTAGAGCTGCGTCACCACCGGCAGGGTGGGCCCCCCTGGAGCCAGGCCGTCCGGGGTGGCCGCCAGCAGGTCGGCCCGGATGACCAGAGCCCGGCCCCAGTTGACCAGGGCACGGGAGCTCCAACCTTCCAGCTCCAGAACCTGAGCGAGTGAGTGAGTGAGTGTGTGAGTGCATGTGTGAGTGAGTGTGTGAGTGAGTGAGTGAGTGAGTGTGTGAGTGAGTGAACAAACGTATAGAAGCAAGGAGGGATGGAGGGAGAAAAAGGCGAACCAGGGATGGAGGGGGGCAGGGGAAGGCGATACTGGAGGTGAGGAGAGCGGAGAGAAGATATGAAGATACGGCCATTCCAAGTGCAAGCGGAGTGGAAAGGCGGAAGGAGGGAAGTGACTCTGTACGACGGTGAACACACGCGTGTGTACGTGCCATGTGCCAGTGCCTCCAACGGTCAATCCCTCCACAAATGCGAATAAAAAACCCAACCCAACCCCTCCCTTCCCTTCCCCTCCCCCTTACCCCTCATCCCAACCCAACCACCTTTAAAAACATGACCCCGGCGTCCGTGAGCAGCGCGTTCGCCTCCCCCGTCATGGCCCTCTCCGCGTCCCGCTGCGTTGCGGCCTCCGAGGGGGAGGAGGGGGGGGGACCCGAGCGAAGCGCCTCCAGGTAGGCGGCCTAGCGGGGCGGAGGGGGAAAGGAAGGGGAAGGGGAAGGGCATTTGGGGGTATGAAAGTGGGAAGTGATCTGCTGCCGGTGGCGGGTGGCGGGGTGGGGAGGAAAGAGTGGGCAGGGGCCGATAGGGGGCCCGATGTGGTAGACGAACAACCGGGGGGGGGTACGATGATCTGTTTTCATTCTTCAATATCAGGAGTCGTAGCACACATGGGCATCGTACAAATGGCCGTACATCTTCCTAGGAGGGCACTGCTACACACTTCCTAACTAGTAGTACTGCGCTTTCTCCCTTGCAACCTACAACGATACACCCCCCCAGCACACCACCACCACCACCACATAACCAAGTAAACCCCCAGGTACGCCCCTCCAACCCCGCCCCACCCCCCTCTCCCTCACACAGTTAACGAAGAAGATTCCCTTGGATGTTACAAGAATTATATTGCTATGATAAAACCAAGATGACCATAAATAACAAAATTAAATAACATATTTTAATTCTTATCTCTGTAAAAGGTTCATAGCTCTCTTCCGCCTCACCCCCGGGCGAAGAGATGGGCACTGGTGCATCTAGACCTCTTAAGAAGGAAAGGTCTCCCCCTCCCCCCCTGCCAAGACCCCACCTCCCCCCCCACCTTGAGCTCCCCCCCTGCCAAGACCCCACCTCCCCCCCCACCTTGAGCTCCCCCCTGGCCAGCAGCGCATTCCCCAGGTTGCCAAGCGCCTTGGCGTCCGAGGCGGCGGAGGGCAGCTCCGCGGCCCGCGTGAAGGCGGCGATGGAGGACTGGATCAGCGAGTCAGCCAGACCGTAATCCTGCGGACAGGCAATCAGGCGGCGGGGGTGAGGGCGAGAGAGAAGAAGGGGAGGAAGGAATGGCGGTGGGGGTTTGAGGTATGGGAGGTATGGGAGGGGGGAACGACGAACCACGAGCGAGTGAAGTGAAGCTGCTGGCAAGGACAGAGTGTTCAAGAAGTAGAACTGACCAGTAGGCGGTTTTGAAGGAGGCGACCTCGGGATGATGTAATGATGACGACCGCGGAAACCTACCTACCTACCTACCTACCTAGCCGCCAAGACTAAAATAAGAGCGGAAGAAGATCAGGAAAACCATCCGTAATATTGTAGAGGTAGTAGGTATACAGGCGGCGAAAGAGCGAAAAACGGCGAAAGTGAGTAGAGAAAGAGGTGGAGGACGTAAGCTGGAATATATTTGCTCGCCAGCCTGGCGGCGGAATTTGAGGAACCTGGACAGAACTGGCTGATTAGCTGGTGGTGATAAAAAGCTGCTGGTGACATGCAAGTGCTCCTCCCACCCCCACCCCACCACGCCGCTGACCCGACCGACCCGACTATCCCAGTCCGGCTATAGCCGACCGATGCAACGCGATTCACCGAGAAAGCTCAAATCTACTCGGACTCACCTGGCCAGGCAGCAGAAGCGGCGGGCAAGGAGGGCACATGCGAGGAGGCAGAGCGGAAGAAAGGTTGTGAGCAGCGAGCGATGAAGAAAAAGCAACGCATGCGAATGTCGCTGAAGGGCTATAGCTGGCAGGCTGGGGAAACCGGGAATAAGAAGACCTAACGACCCTATGTGAAAGCGGAAGATAAACCAGGGGCTAAAAAGGAAAGACAGATGCAAAGGCGGCGCAGGACGACGCAGAAGGTGTCGTACTAGATGACGGAATCGACAATGTGATATGACGCATTGGACGACGTGTACGGCGGCAGGGACGCAAAGAAGGTAGAAATGGAGAACTGGGTTGGAAAGAACGCAAAAGAAAGGCCAATGGGAGGAGAGGCAGTCGGTAGGAAGAGAACCGCGTGTGTATATGGGAGGGAGGGGTGCCGAGAAGGGGAGAAAGGAGGGCGTGGAGGAAAAGGAGGCGAGGGAGAAGGGGGAGTGGATGACAAGGCAAGAGGAGGGCCAAGAGAAGACCACCGGAAAGAAGGGATGAGACCAATGACGGGAACAGGATGGAAACCTATGGGTTCGGGGACCTTCGGGGGTTTTAGTAGGGGGGTTGGGTTGGGGGGCCTTCGGGCGGTAAGAAAGTGAAAATGAAGGCGCGGAAGGACGCGGGATACAAAGGCCGGGCGGATCCCGGGGCGCCCCCTCATTGTTCGGCGGGAGGCAGGAACACACCGACACCCCCTGTAGCGAGAAACCGGTACCCCGACCCCAACCCCCGGGTCATGTTCTGGGACGACCCCCCTCCCCCCCTCACCTCCCCCTTCCTCGTCTCCTCCCTCCCCAGCCGCAGCAGTCGCAGCCCCTCGCTGATGAGCTCGGTGCCGCCAAGGCCCTCCAGCGGCCGAGGGCGGTACGAGTCCGACGGAGGGGGAGAAGGAGCGGGTGCAGCAGCAGCAGCGGGAGCAGCACCACCCGGCGACGGCGCTGATGGGGGAGTGCTGCTGCCCCAGACGGGCTGCTGTTGTTGTTGCTGCTGTTGCTGTTGCTGTGGGTGCGCAACGGGGCTACGAGGCTGCAGCGGCGGCGGTTGCGGTTGCTGGAGTGGCTGGGGTGGCTGGGTTGGCCAGAACGGCAGCCGCAGCCGCGGCTGCTGCTTCAGCTGCTGTTGTTGCTGTTGTTGCTGTTGTGCTGGCAAGGGTACCTGAGAGGGCTGTACGGGCGGCGGTACCGGTGCCGTGAACTGCTGTATCATGTCGTACCACGACGGCTTCTCGGCCGGCTGCTCTGCTTGCGCCCCACCTACCCATCTAGGAAAGGCCAAAGGCGAGGGCGAGGGGGCGGCGGCGGAAGAGGAGGAGGAGGATGGGGGGGAAACCGGGGGTTGTTGGGAAGGGGGAGTTGCGGCGGATGTGGAGGCGGGGGCGTAGCCCCCTCCGTAGCCCTCCCCATACACACCGGCACCCTGGAAGCCCCCGTCCTGCATCAGCTGCTGCTGCTGCTGCTGGTCGTACGGACTGTACTGCACTCCCATCCGCTGCGACGACGGTTGAGATGAGGGTTGAGGTGGTTGGCCTGGTTGTTGCTGAAGTCGCGGATCCCATCCGTACGGTTCGCCCTGTTGTGGTGGTGGTGCGTATCCTGGATAGGAGCTGGCTGGGTAGCTACCGGCGGTGGGGGGGGGTCCCGGTGAGCCGTCAAAACCACCCGGGGGTGTAGGGGGGGAGGCGGGGGGGGCGCCAGGCGCCTGGGGGAACGAGACGTAGGAGGTCGAGGGGGAAGAGGAGGAAGGGGAGGGGGGAGGAGGGAAGGACGAGAGCGGGCCTTGATATGCAGGCACTGGCTGCTGCTGCTGCTGCTGCTGCAGCGGCGGCGGCGGCCGCACCTCGTCATACGGCAACGGTCCGGGTCCGCCGTACGATGCCGGCTGTAGCGCGTCCGCCATTTGCGGTGGCATGGACCCGTCAAAGGCGGGTGGTGCTGACGGGATTACCGGTGGCGGCGCTGTGGCTGCTGCTGCGGCTGCCACTGTCGGGGGGCGGCGGATGTCTGGCTGTAGCTGTTGCTGCAGCTGTAGCTCTGGGGGCTGCTGCTGCTGTTGCCAATTCGCTGCTTCCGGATACGGCTGTAGCTGCTGCAGTGGCTGCTGTACTTCTTGAGCTGCTTCACGCTGCGAAGGAGGCTGCTGCTGCCGTTCCGCAGCGGCCGGCGCCGCGGCAGCAGCACCAGCGGCAGTAGCCCCTTCCGACAGCGAGCCTTCAAACGGCGGCAACCCCACAATGCGCAGTTGTGACTCAGCTGGCCTGACGGCGGCTGCAGCAGCAGCATTGCCACCATCATCACCGGCGCTCTTCCCGCCGCCGCCGCTGCTCCCACTGGAGCTTGCTTCGGAGCCTGAGCGCCTCCGTGCCTCCGCCAGCTGTAGCATCATGTCGTACGCTTCATCCCGCGTGACACCAGCCGTGCTTGTCATCGACCCGCCGTCAACGCCGCCTCCGCCAGCACGCTCAGGCGGCGGCGGCGGCGGCGCCCCTGACGCCAGGCTGGCCTCGAACGACAGTACGTCAACCACCTCGCTACTACCGCTACTGCTACCGCGGGCAGCGGCGCCGCTGCCCCTCATCGCTGGCGGTTCCACGGCAGACCCTGGCGCCGCCGCCGCCGCCAGCTGCCCCTGAGCTGCCATAAGGCTTATTTGGCTGGTAAGCGCCGCCAAGGCCTCCTTCATGGACTCCATGCTGTTTTGGAGCTCCCACTGCTGCTGCTGCTGCTGGGCGGCCGCCGCTGCTACAGCCTCGGCCGTGAAATCTGGCGATGACGACGATTTTGGCAGCGACGGTGGCGACGATGGCGGTGGCGCTGCCGCCGCCGCTGCGGCGGCTGCAGCCGTCGGCAGCTGAGCCATCGCCGCGGTCACCCCGTCCATTTTCGCATCGACGTCACGCAGCAGCCGCGCAACAGCTTCCACGCCGTCAAGCAGCCGCGCCAACTCCGCCGGCGGTGGCGGCGGCGCCGCCACTGCTGCCGCCGCCACACCATCAGCTTCCGTTGTCGCCGCGGCCTGCTGCGCAAGCTGCAGCTGCTCCTGTTGCCCCTTCGAAACGGCTGCTACAGCCACCTGCAGCTCTGTCACGCCAAGCTGTAGTGGCTGCAGCGCCGCCGCCAGGCCGTCGAAGCTCTCCCGTAGTACGGTCTGCGCCGCCAAGATATCGTTACGTACACTGTCAGCCTCGCGCGCCGCCGCCGCCGTCACCTCAGCACGCGCCTCCGCCACCTGCATCGCCAGCGCCTCCCCCACCGCCGCCGCCACCGCCGCCGGCACCTGCCCCCCCTGTAGCAGCGCGCCCTCCGTACCCGCCGGCACCCCCTCCACCAACCTCTCTAACCGGGTTAGACGTCGACCCAGCGCCGACCACTGCTCGTCGTCCATGGGTACGGGACGTACGGCATTAAGACGACCTGTACAACATCAGGAACGAAACTCTTCGCTCCTGTGATGTGTAATATGACTGATGGGATGAAACAACTCGGGAAAGTGTGTACGGCACCTAGTCATGGCGGGGATCCCAAGCAAGGGGTGGGGGTTGTATCCTCCGCTAGCTAGCCACCACACAGTACGACTACTGCTATTAGTGCTCACCCCCCAGTATACACCAACACGGGGAGCCCCCCTGTACCAATTCTTCAAACCCCCCGTACCCTCCCCCCAACACCCTCCCCCTCCCCTCCCCCGCACACACGTCTCCCCCCCCATAGCCCTTGAGCCCACCAAAGGCATCCGCTTGGAAGTCCAGGATACGAGCCACCGCCATCTCCACCTCCTGACTCACAATGGCCTGTCGTACATCCGTACACACACATGTCGAGGTTAGTAATCCGTGGAATACCCTCCTCAGAGACCGCGCAAGGAATCATGGGCCGCACTTCAGGGTCCCCTATCGGGTCTGACATGACGTGGAGTGACGCGAGCAGAGGGCAGGGGGGCGCCAACCCCCTCACCTGACCCCTTTCCGCCCTCTTCCAGTCACCCTAGTCAACTTCTCAGTGGATCGCTCAGGTTCCGCACCCACCACCAGCATCCAACGGAATCTGCCGGATCGACAGCGCCCCAACTCCATCCCTGGTCGGCTCGCAGGTTAACTTTATCCCAGGTCACCACCATCCATCAACTAGGGGCGCAATACCTCCACCATCGGAAGGACTTTTTGACCCTAACGGGTATCGATCCCGGGATCTCCCGGGGGCAATGGTCACGCGTTACCAGTAGTGCCTAACCTAGTATATGTGTATGTACGTATGTATGAATTCCTCGCGACTCAGTTGGTGCACACACATACACACACATACACACACATGCACAATCACCCGGTGCCACAGCCCCCACCTCTTCGCCACCACCTCCACCAAACCCACCTGCAGCTGCTCAGGAGTTATCACGGGAGGCGGCGGAGGCGGGGGTGGCGGAGGCGGAGGCGCCACACCGCCTGCCGTACTCACCGCCGACCCCGCAGGCCCGGCGGCGGCGCTGGCCTCCACCGCCTCCGCCGCGGCAAGTGCCGGCGGCAGCGCAGCCGCCAGCATCTGCGGCAGCCGCCGTACAGGCTCCATAGACCTGACAAGGGCGAATCCAAGACGACAGGGTTGTGTGCGTGCGTGTGTGGAGGGGGAGGGGGGAAATAGTCAGGCGGCGGGATTTTGAAAGTCTGGAGGAAGGGGGGGGGGGAGGAGCTCCGGGTTCAACCGGGTTCAATCGTGTGTGTGTGTGTGTGTTTTGCAGGTCTCCGTACAAGGGAGGGGTCTGAATACACATGAGGTACGTGGCGGACCAGGCGGCGCAGGCTGGGGTCTTATTCATCAACCCAAATTCCATTAATCCAGCC